AAAGACACCACGCTCCAGGGTTTTACCTTGATAATGAATAACCGATGAAAATACAGCAACGCTCGCCTAACGGGGATAAGAAGGCCTCGGTTGGTTAACAACAATTTATAGTACAATGTTTTATAGAATACGTGGTGTACAGAAAAGTATACAAGAATTTTTTTGGGATCGGTGTGTCAATACCGATTTAAGTGTAAAATGGCAATAGCCGTAACACTGACAAAATAGACATAGTTTATCTTTACTATTATATATTACAATAGCTGTTGACGTAATTGCGAAGACGGTTTAGCCGATCACATCTAGACACCAAGTGGCTTTGGAGGGGGTAGTTTCTTTCCGATAAGGGACTTGTGGATGTGAGGAATGACACCACCACCAGCGATCGTTGCCTTGATAAGTGTATCCAATTCTTCATCTCCTCGGATAGCCAACTGCAAATGGCGAGGAGTTATACGCTTCACCTTCAAGTCTTTACTAGCATTCCCTGCAAGTTCCAATACCTCGGCAGTAAGATATTCGAGGATGGCAGCGGAGTAGACGGCAGCTGTCGCACCGACACGTCCATGACTGGTTGTGCGGGTCTTGAGATGACGGTGGATACGACCAACAGGAAACTGCAAAAGAATAGCGAAAACCAGATGAGTTAGACTTTAATCACAATTGCGATGGAGACTACTTTGGAGTATGATGTACAGATTAAGTTTGGTGCTCCCACACACATACTGAAGGTTATGGTAAGTATGCTTTTGGCAAGAAAGCAGCACAGATGTGCTTCCACCCTTTTATTTACCAAACTACTGTTAGGCGTGCAATTCCCAAAGGGGGACAGTTTCTATATCGGTCCTCCACTTTCTCTTCACAACTGTTACGTAAAAGTAAAGCCAGGCCGAAACCTAGATGTAACTGACTGAACTTTTGATTAACATCATGTTTATGAATAATTCATTTTAAAATAGAAAAATGCAAGTCATCGTAACTAGTGGCACGCTGGCAAAACTTTCTTAAAAAGAACAATCCCAATTCCTTTAAGACCAATATGGCAGTAGCATGCAGTGTTACGCTAGGTATTCCGTTAAAGCTGTTGGGAGGTGGTTTGTACCAAGGGAGATGGTTTTTGCACCACCAGCCATTGATGTCGTCCACTAGCGAAGCCCGGCCGCCGATGCGAACGGGTATCTGAATGGACTTCAGTGAGGTCACAGTCCTAACAACTAAGTTGAATGTGGGAGGCTAACTAGGAAAATCGCACACTACAAAAACCAAGACCGCACGAGCTTTTTCTTTTTAACGAACACGGGAAAACCTTGGAATAAGAGACAGAAGCAGTATATACCGGAACGCAGAGAGAAAGCTATTGCGGGAAAAAATGAAGTCACAACGTAAGCAAGCAAGATTTCGTTCCTTAGCATTCCAGAAGACTATTGCAGGTATTATCTCAAAGGCAGCTTTCACCTCAACTTTAACAAGTGACTCACGATTCCAACCTCTAGCACTGACGCAAAAGCATAGTCAAGCGTCCGAAAAACGTAAGATATGCGAAAAAATGAACGAAACAAGGCAGATTTTTCTCATAATTACCTGAAGTCCGGCACGATGAGAACGAGAAATTGCCTTAGCTTTCGCTTTTCCTGAATCCTTGCCTGCTTTTCCTCCAGCCTAAAAACGTTTAAATGAAAAATACAAAATAGAAGGGACGCACCATTATAGATAGTACTGCGCGAAATCTTAGATAAAATTGAATTCATCCGAGGCGCCATCATTAGTAAAGCTAGTTTACATAAACACCAAAATTGGAAATAGTGGAAGCACTTCGGGCAGGCTTCCAAAACTTCCTTTATAAAATATAAATCCTCTTAAACATTAGTTATTTTTAACTACTCAATTAAAATATCTTTTAATGAGAGTAGCTGAAGTAATTTGGCAATTTAGATCTTTGTTCAAATTTTGAGACAAAGTGGAAGATTTCTATAAATCGATCTATTCAAGAGAATAAAAGGCTTTTAGTCTTTGTATTTATTATACAAGTCATCTATATTAGCATCGTTTTATTTGGAACCATGACGAATTCCAAGTGTCCCACGTGCAACAATAATGTTACTGGCAGGAGTAAGGCTGTTTTCTGTGGCCTGTGTAAACAATGGGTACACATTAAATGTGCGAAAATAGCGCCAGAAGTATATGAAGTCCTGAAGAAACATGACTCGGAAAGGCTTGTTCCCATTTGCAGTACATGCAAGGTAAGTTTTCTTGGCAAGGACGCGGACGACACAAACACGGAGTCACAAGAGACAGACCAAGCCCGGGAGCAGAATAAAAATCAGCCCGAAATTGAGAAGACGGATTCAGGCAACTCGGAACTGAATGCGACGATGCCACCGGCGACGGCGGAACCAGTGGAAAATCCGCAACCTAGACCCACGCCTCTCGTACCACTCACAACAATAAATGACGACA